CTTAATTTTTTCACAGCTATTAATGCTGAAGTATTCCTCAATATCCACTCACTCCCTGATTAAATCTCAGGTTCAAGGCTTAACTAGAACCAAGGTCTTACCTTCTCTTCGGTGCCCTAATGAAAAGCTCACAAAGGAGCCTGCCCTGTTCATCTTTGTAATCTCTGATGGTGTTGTAAAGTTCATGGCATACAGCAATCTAAAATGCAAGAACAATAAAGCAATAAAAAAGGAGAAAATTTTAAGGAGGTAACAAATCAAAGCCTGCTTACAATGGGAAAGACAAGCTGCCAATCCACAGCGTGCTCTAAAGCAGAAGTGTGAAGAAATTGGTGCATCTCATGCATTAGTACAACACCTGACAAGTATGCCATATACTGCTGGATTTTTTTTTTTGAACACAGGGAGCTTTCTTTCGATGCTAATTCTAAGTAAAACACCCAAAATGTAAATTAACTCAGTACAATTTTCTCTGAATTATAGACATCTAAAACAATGACAGGGGTTCTCCTGCCCTGCAATTAATTAAAATTAGACTGCTAGCTCAAAGGCATAACAGAGACATTGTACACTTCAGCAATCACTGCCTGTGCCGTTCCCTGCTTATCTCTCTCTGCATTTGCTATTCAGACAGAGCTCTCAACTTCTGCACATTATGATTTCAGCTCCTTCTCCAACATCCTCCCATCTGTTAAAATCATCAGCAAAAAAAAAGAAAAGCAGCAAAAGGAAAATGGGAAAGAAAAAGATGAAACAGGGGAGACAAGAACAAACCAAAGCTGAACGAGATCCTAAATAAAGCTTAGCCAAGGCAGCAACAGATTCAAGGCCAGTGTGTATGTGCTACATATGATCATCCATTTTCCAGTTCAGCATTTCCCAGACAGGGATACAGTATCCACAAGAAAAAAAGTTCTGCATGATACGAGGTACTAACAGGATCTACAGTTGGGAGATTGGAAAGTCTCCTCCTCTTTCTGCTTGGGCCTGGTATATTCGTGGAGTGGTGGCCATCATCAAAGTCTCCTCCGCTGACGCTGCTGGAAGGCGAGGTAGCTCTTCGCCTCTTGGAACCCATGGAATCCAACTTCTTCTATAATGAAGAGAGATGTTCTTAAACTCATGGCATTTCATCCAAACTCTCTGGGGGGAGCTAACTATAAACCTAGCAATGCTTAGGATGTCACATTTGTTATATACTACAGTTCAGTTACACCATATATCTAAATACCAGCTTTTTGAAAATTGGCAAGAGTAAAGGGAAATAGAAATGATCCTACAGTTTTATAGTCACTGATGACAGCAATGTCAGAAAGCATTTTATAGTCATGGATGACAGCAATGTCAGAAAGCCTAGAGCTCACAGTGATGAAGATTAATTTAGCAGCTCTTACTAGGATATGTTCTTAAACTATCTACATTTTGATCTCATCTCACGAATGATAACTAAGCGAGAACCACTTTTTTAAAGGAAAAAGGTATACAGAGACACGCTCAGTTCTGGTGTAAAAGCACATCGTTCCATGTCAAACTAAAACAAAACAAAACAAACAAACAAAAAACTAACAACAACAACAAAAAAAAAGAAAACAAAACCAAAAACAAACAACACAAAACACGAAGAAAATAAATTGCAAATGACAATTCAAATGGCTACAGATATCTTGTCTTAGATTCAAGCCAAAAAGCGGTCCGGACCATTGCATGACCTACCACTCTCACTTTACATGTAGGATGAATGGCTCAATCATCAAAAAGTAGAAAAAAAACACCTTTTTTTGGCCATAGTTTTCCATTTGCCAAGACAAACAGTGACAAATGAACAACCACCATCCAGCATCTATGATGATTTACGGAACAAGCTGTTGGCTCTTTCCCAACTTCCAGTGACAGCATCAGAAAAATATCTTTATTTGTAGGTGTCTCGAAGGCTGAAGACAGAACAGATCCATCTATGCCAGCCTATATCCATTTTCCAACCAAACCAAGGAATTTCTTCTAGGAAGCACTCAGCTGATTTACAAGGTATGACAGAACAACATAACCACATTAGAGCATTTATGTGAGAGACAGAATTAATTTCAAGCACACAAATGAGATGAATAAGGCAGGAATAATTAACAGTGAGGATAAAGAAAAGCAAAAGCCTAAGGCAGAGGAATGGAGAGAATGCTGCACATACAATCAATAATTTACCAGATTTACCAGAGTACAACCAGCACCTCGAAAAGCCAGTCTCCTCATAGTTTCTGACGGCCAAGTACAGATATTGGGAGAAGGTAACACTCTAAGAGTAGCAAACCAGCAATGGTGTTAGTACAGTCAAAACTGGAAGACAAGAAAAAGGAAGGAGAGAGAGTAGAAAACTGAGAGTAGATAGATAATTAAAGAATAAAATCAAAGCATAAATTTAATAATTTCAGTGACAGAGGAAAAAAGCAAGGAACAGAAGGTAACTTTTTTTAGCCTAGCAGAAACTCTACAAAGTAATTTTATACACAGAATGCTAGACATTTCTGTCATTTTTACAGTGAAAACACATTTCTCTAATGTTCCTGAATACATATTACAGATTTCACAGCCACTTGCTAGAGAATGATTCATCAAGCAGAGCAGGGAGTAAACATAAGCGATATCTGACCTGAGAGTAAAAACCAGAAAGCAGAACTTACAGAATGTGAAATAGTACAGTGCTTCAAAAGATAAGAAAATAATTTTTAAGGTCAAGAAATGTTTAATAGGCTCTCCACTAAAGATGCACCTCCATCAGTCTTCAGAGTGGATTTTTATTCCCTAAGCAAGCAACATTAAGTATCCTGCTATACAGGTTCACTAAGGATCTACCTGTTTTCATTTCTAAGCAGTATACCAGCCTGGGTTTTTTTCAGAAATTCCATGTGAAATGTACAGAGCCATTTTATGGCAAAATGATTGCTTCTATTGATTTCATACAACTACTGTATTCAATCAAACCCCAGAGAGATTGTTTTCCTGTTTGGTGTTCTGGATATTTTCATAACACACACATACAGAGAAACTCTGTGCTTTATTAGCAGGCAATTCGTCTCAGGAACGGACAACCAGCCTGTCACTTTTGGCACTGCCTCCAACTTTTATCTGAGAGCTACAGTACTGAATGGCTAACACAAGGCACGTGCTGCTGATATGGAGGCTGCTAGAAAACACAAGTTCTTGGTTGTGAAGGAAAGGCAGGAGGGACTACTGGAATCAATAATTCTGGTTCACCCAGGCACCCAAAAGTACACTCAGTCCAATCCCATCCTGAAACAAAGACCTGGGGACACCTCAACCAGCACCTGCTGGCAAGCTGCATATAGGCTTCTCCACGTCCGTTATCCGAGGCACGTATGCTGCAGCTCCAAGGCACAGGCAGATGGTGGTGTACACCTGCACGATCGAGATGCCTGGCCATTCTGTACACTGCCTCCCAAAACATTCTTCTCCTCTAATAACCAAGGAAGGCGCAAAACTCCTATCAGTCTGAACAACATCGTGAATACTCTGTGAAAGAACTGCTTACATAAAACTCCTATCGAATGCCAGGCTCCAAAATGCAAATTTCTCTCCAGATCTCCATGCTCATAAACACAGATAATCCTGCTGTGCACAGAATGTATCCTGTTTTACTTAAGAATACGTCTCCTAGACTTTCTTCTGCAACATAACTGCTAGCTCCCAAGTCTCTCAACAGTCACACCAAGAATCTCCACCACTACAAACAAGTCATCTCCTGCGCAACAGGAGCTTGAGTGTCTTATTAATAATTGCTCACAATGCCCATAAAAACGTCACATAACCACAGACATTTCTATAAGAAGTGTTTTGGCCATTACTAATATATATGTATACTGATATATACACAACTGGTGGAAGACTGCCTCTCCTGGAAGGCATACTAGACTTATCACCACAAGCATCACCCAGTCTAATGTTATTAAATGAACAGCTTTTACATACATTGGTGATAACACACTTAAAACAGGCCAGTGAGGTTCCAGCACACATTTAGTTTTCCTCCTCCAAGTAGAAGAAAGCTAAAAGTCAGTAGAGACCATGGAAAGTATTTTATCAGGATCTCCCACGTTTCAACAGAATTGCTCACTAAATCACAGTAAATTTAGCAAACGGAACAGGGGAAGGAAACACTGCCAGAATCTCCTCCGGTTATCGATCACATCAAAACCAGCTACAACACAGGAAAAGAGGGGACAGCAGCAACCAGACAGTATAAAAGGACAAAGTTGGCGAAGAAATGAGAGGCACAGCACATCGATCGGTTTATTAACACTGAGGCAAAAAAGAAAAAGGCAAAGCACCTAACTTCCCCAAACCACCCCGCAGGGGGGCCGCGCCCGCACCCCGCCCGCTTTTCGGGGTGTTACTGTCGGCAGGAGAAGGAGACAAAGAAAAACACCCTTCCCGGCCCCGGGCCGGGCTGTGCCCTCACGGCCTGACAGGACGGTGCCCCCGCTCCCGTCCTACGGGCCTCGCTCCGTGGGAAGCCGCCACCCGCCCCCCGCCCGCCGCTGTCCCGCGACGGTGCCCCCGCCCGGGGCCGGCCGGTGAGGAGGGCGCGGCAGGGACAGCGGTTCGCAGGGGGCCGCGGCGGGGCGGCCCGCGCCCGGAGGCGGTGACGGGGGGAGATGACATGAGAAGGGCGGCGGGGGCTCGGCCGCCCCCGGGGCCCGGCCCGCCGTGGCGGAGCGGCTGCGCGGCCGGGCGGCGCTGCCTCCCCGCGGCGGCCACACAAAGGGAAGGCAGCGGCCTCCTGGCTTCGGCCCGCCGCCCCGCCTGCGCGACCCCGGCGCCGCAGCCGCTCACCCAGCCAGCTCCGCTCCGCCTCCGACAGCCGCGGCCGCACTCGCCCTCCGCCGCCCGCCCCGCCACCGCTGCCGCTGCCGCCGATGCCGCCGCCGCCGCTCCGGACCGCCGAGCCCGCCGCTGCCGCAAAGCCCGCCCGGCCGCCAAACGCGCCGAGCCCGCGCGACACCTCCGGCGAAGGAAGGGCCGCTTCGCTTTACGGCAGCGCCCGCCGGCGGGAGTAGGAAGGAGCGCGGGCTTCCACGTGGGGCGGCGGCCGGGCGCGCGCCGGCGGCGCCATGAAGCGGCCGAGTGAGCGGCGGGAGGGGAGCGGGGCGGGGGGGGGCTCGGGCGGTGCCGCCGCCGGCCGCCGCTCTGAGGAGAGGGAATGGCGGGGGCGGACGGCGGAACGGGACCGGGACGGGGGGAAATGGCGGCGGGGGGTGGGGGAGGGGAAGCGGCCGCCCGTGGCCGAGCGAGCGGCGGCGGCCCGGGGAGGGGGAACGGGAGCGCGGGCGGGCCGCGGGCAGCCGGTGCTGAGCCGCGCGGTGCGTTGCAGAGCTGAAGAAAGCCAGCAAGAGGCTGACCTGCCACAAGCGCTACAAGATCCAGAAGAAGGTGAGTCCCGCGGGGCGGGGGCCTGGCGCTCATTAACTCTCGACGCTAACTAGTTTAACGCCAAAAGCAATTTTAAAGTAACGTGTATGTGTGCATGTAGACAGTAAGATTACTACGTTGAATGTTAAGGAGTCTGGGCAGTAGTGAGGAATTTGTTTTCCAGTTACCACTGGCCGAAGAGCGATGGAGACAGGAGTGTAGGTTTTTCACATTGTTGCATGTTGCGTGATTTTGGGCTGGTACGTTCAAGTGTAACTTTACAATGAGACATTGTGCAATTGAAATGTTTCAATCTAAAGTCAGACACGTACTATTTTTTAACTGTTTCTGTAAATAGGAGGGATATGTACTTATTTTTTTTTGCCTTAGATTGAGAAAATACTCTTGTTCCTGCCTTCAGATCAGAGAACACCACCGAAAAGTTAGGAAGGAGGCCAAAAAACGTGGACGTAAAAAGCCCAAGAAGGATCCTGGTGTTCCCAGTGCTGCACCATTTAAGGAAGAGCTTCTACGGGAAGCAGAGCAAAGAAAGCAGAGGGTAAAATGCAGTTTGTGGTAAAGGGGATAAGAGAGAGAGAATTCAAGGGAACTGAGACCATTCCAATCTTCAGAGAAGCTTTGTGTGCACGTGTGTACCCAGAGCTGCAGTCATGGTAGATTGCAAATGGTCCCCGTAGACATGTACTTTGGAAAAATAATATATTTATTTCCAGCATTCTACAGTTTGCTCATTCATTTTCAACCTTCATTTCATCACTGTGTGTATAAACATGCTGGAAGTGTAATTTCTAATGTAATCCGAATTGCCTGTGTTGCTAAGATACATAGATGTCCCATCAGAATGCTAAAAGTCAAGTCCTGGTATTATGTGATTATATAGAAAATAAGGAACTGCTGTCTGCAGCATAATGTGATGTGAGAGCAGCACCCTTATCAGTTGTAATGTGGTTGCTGCACGGCTGTTGTTTTGGGGTCTAGCTAATGGGTATACTAGTACTGGTTTTGAGGCAACTGAAGGCAAAAGTATTCGTCTTGGTGGGATGCAAAAAAAGTTCCCAGTGTCACTTGGACAGCTGCGACTTGTAACTAAGGTGTCCGGGGAACTTTGGTCAGAAATAAGTAAACTGGGATGAAGAACAACCTTTCTTACCACCTTCAAATGTGTTTTATCTGGCTTGGGTTTTTGTTTGCAATCAGCTTGAAGAACTAAAACAAAAGCAGAAGCTCAACAGACAGAAAGAACATGAAAAGAAGAGGAAGCTTGAAGCTAAAAAGAATGCAGCCAAAAACAAGGAAAAAGCAGAGGGGAAGGTAGGTGTCTGGTATGATTTTCATTACTTTGAAGCTTATAGAAGCAATAAAAGTCATTCCGAAACTGCATCTTCTTAAGCAGTATGGTACGTGTTTTCATGCTGTATATGCACACAAGTATGATATATTGATTCTCAGTTAAATCATTCCCTTTCATTTTCATTTGCATTCAGGAATCCTCTGGCAAATCTAAAGCAAAGACTAGAAAACTGCTGGATAAAAATTCAAAGAAATCATTCTGCAGGGAGCTCTGGAAGGTGAGATGCTTCAACTATTCTTACATAATTTGATGAGAGTCAGCAATGATACTGCTTGTTATTTTCCTTTCTTGCATTACTGTGCAGCTGCTAGAGAGTACAAGGTTGCTTGTGACAAACTTCAACACTGAAGTAGGGAATTTTACAACAGAAACTGTGAGGGTTTCTGTCTTGTCTGTTGTGAGCTACCGAGACATCCTGCACTTTGAGGCATTAGACTTCTTGTGCCAATGTCAGTACATACTGGGTGATCAAAGAGCTTTTGTAGTAATGAGGTACTAGTGTCTAAGGATTTCTTGCCCTTGGAGGAAAAAGATGAAAATTGCTTCAGCTTTTTGGTTTGTAGTTCAGAAGAAAGGAGCTCAAGCAAGAACAGTCATATGAAACCTCACCAAAGATTCTCTGAAATTCAACAGTAACTGTTGTAAGCCACAGCTATTTCAGAGTTGTCATCTGTCAAATGGTCTGTTATGTCTTATTTGAGAGTCAACTCTCTTTTCTATCCTAGGTGATTGAGGCCTCAGATGTGGTTCTAGAGGTTTTAGATGCAAGAGATCCAATGGGCTGCCGGTGTCCTCAACTGGAGCAAGCTGTAACTTGTTCTGGAGGAGACAAAAAGCTACTGTTGGTTCTGAACAAAATTGGTAAGAAGCACAGGTTTTCTTGAAGGGTCACTTGGTCACTGTGTGGTTCTGTGGTAGGTGAGCTATGAAGAAGATTTTAAAGGAATCTGAGATTCCATTGAAGACATAAGATCCAACTCTGAGCTCTCTGCCCTACTGAAGGGGTCACATTTCCTCCACCTTTTAGTCTACAGTTTGCTAAGAAAACACCACAGACAGCTAAATGCACATTAGCCCCTTTTGCAATAACTTCTGAAGACATTGGCCAGTCTCAGCCAAATTTGACAGAAATTGAAGTTCTTACCATTTTTAACTTTTTTGTGAACATAGGTGGGTAGGCAGAGGTCGTGATGTTCCCCACTGAGTCAATGGTGAGTTAAGGATCGGCAGATCAATGCCATAGATGGATTTGAAATTTGGCTTTGGGAAGTACTTTCTCTTCTGTTGCTGTATGAAAGAATCCACACAAAAGCAGGTGAAACCAGCTGGAAAGGTTGGAAATTACTGAGTTGCTAGCAGCAAAAAAGGAAAAGAAAATACCAAGAGCAAGTATTAGAGTAGCCTTTGCAGGGATGATGGGATAATCCTTTGCAGAGCATCACTGTACCATACAAAGTCTCCTAGCAGGACCCCAGCATTAAAAGCCTCATACTGGGGCAAAAAATGTCATTGTGGTATGTTCTGCTTGAGGCAGAAAAATAAAGACTAAAACTTGCAACACTGGGTGCTTTTGGGTACTTTACTGGATTTTCAGCCAAACATCATTTGTCATATACATACTAAATGGACAAAATACAGCTTGGTTCGTGATTCCACATTAGCTTTCCTCCACACAGTGACATTTAAGATTCACAGGTGTGAATGGACTGCGCTCTTTTTTCCAGATCTAGTGCCAAAGGAGAACTTAGAGAAATGGTTGAATTACTTGAAGAAGGAGTTTCCAACAGTTGCTTTTAAATCAGCAACGCTGATGAAGGACAAGACTATGGTAAGAGCACTGCAGGCTGTCTCATGATTGTCATATGTGTTTGCAATCATACATGTTGAGAAACGGGAACTCTTGTTCTTTAAAACTCATTTTCCCCTTGTTTGATTATACTGCTGTGACTGATGGATATGCCTTTGCACTTTGACTAAGCTTTATGGTAGAGTGGGAGAATTGCTGGTTTTGAAATACATACTGTTATTTGTGCCCAGGGTGCTGGAGTAGAGTAAAAGCAAGTCTTTTAATTTTTTTATTGTAAGAAGGACAGTGGGGGGAGAAAGATGAGGAATTTTTCATCTACATAGGATGGTTGCACCAGTTATATCTGAATTGTTTTGTAGGTAAAGTGGTGCAGGCTATACTACAGCATTCATCCTGACTGTGGCCAACACTAAAGGTAGCACCTGACATTATTTCATGAAGAGTATAAAGGGGTTAGCTCCCAGTGTCCTAGTCTCAACTGTCTGAAGATGCTTGAGTCGTACATGTATACATCATACGTACATAATGCTTCACATGTCTTAACCCTGGTAACAGGACAGTGAAATAGACCCTCCTGCAAAATGGTGCAGAAACTGCAATGCAGAGAGCAGGTTTTGAAATCCTTTGACAAACTGCAGTCGCATGAGTGAATGTGCCAATTTAAGGATTCTACCATCTGAACATACATGGTTATTTTATAGTCGCACAACAAATCTGCAATACAGCCTGAAATCACAAGCCCTAGAAGTCAGTTCACGTTCCTTTGTCTACTAGTAGTCGATGGCTACCTTTTTTACTGTCACTTAACTGATTAGCCAATTTCTTACTAATTCCTTCTGTTTAGAAGAACACAGTAATATCATCTTAACAGAGGAGGAGTTGGAAATGTTACGGTAGATAAATCAATCTAAGCATACGTATTTATCTTCCTAAATAGCTCCTGACCATGGTTTTTTTTTTGCCTTTGAATCCTGTAGCAGCAGCACTTCACAAAAAGACGTGCACGTGTTGATTTATCAAGAAGCACTGTATGTTTCGGAAGCAAATGCCTTCTGAAACTTCTTCAAGAGCATAGCAAGACTCAAAACAAAGCCATTCAGGTTGGGGTAGTAGGTAAGTGTTTAGAGAGACAGGTGGAGTTTTCTTCTCCCATAGAGCATTGGTGTCCTGTGTTACAAATTGGATAAAACAGCTAACACGTGACTTGATAACGGGCTTTCTGGTCATTATTCTTACTTTCATCTAAGACTCATTATTGCAGCACATCAGTTGACAGCAGTCTACATTGCACTTGCATGCACGCAGTGTATGTGAGCTGTGGAAGGCATATTGTGCAAGGCCTTAGCTGATTCACCTGCTTAGGGAAACAAAGCAAGCAGGTTACATACCATGCAGCTTGCACTGCCTTCCTCCTACCTGATAAGATTTGTGGCGTGACATTCAGTGTTTTTATTATCAGTGTGAGAAATGAAGATACAAACTTTGTCTTAGAACTTCTGTAGTGAAGATTTCAGATCCAACTCTGATCTCACACCGGAGATGTGCTTTACCAAAGACATCTGGAAGAAGCAGTTTTGATCAGTGTTACATAGGCTGAGTTTTCTTATGTAACTGACAAGTATTTGTGTGGTTTTCTTCAGGCTTCCCTAATGTGGGAAAGAGCAGCATCATCAACAGTCTCAAAGGAGCTCGTGCTTGCAATGTTGGCCTAGCAAGAGGTGTTACCAAGTAAGCTAAGTCTGATAAAAACTGTTGTTTTCCCTATTTGTTGTGTGCTGATTACCTTGAGTTTGTTTGTGTACAATTTCAATCCAGTGCACATTTCAATATGCCAGGATGAAAGACATTGTGTGATGTAAGCTGTCGTGAGAGAATACAGTCTATAAACTTGCTCTTTTTGTACATTGTTTTCTGTCCTATACAAAGCATATGATGAGAAAACACTGAAACTTGACCCTGTATGAAGTATATTCAGTCCAACGCTGAGCTTTGTGTCTTCCATCTCTCACCTTTACCAGTCCTTTGCTAGTTGATGTCTACTCACTCTGCATTTCTCTCTGAATAGGTCCATGCAAATTGTGCACATTGATAAACAGACAAAGATGTTAGACAGTCCAAGTATAATTGCAGATCCTTCCAACAGTGCCCTGGCTCTGGCCTTGAGAAGTATCATAGACACTGAAGAATCAGGCTCATCAGATGTGCTTGAAGGAGTAGATGCTGTTCTAAGTCACTGCAGTAAACAGCAGGTGAGTTCCATCTTTTCCCACATCTCTCACCGCATTTGATTTAGCTGGCCAAGAAGTTCATTTCACTTCAACTAATTGTGGTAGCTTTAAGGCTGCTTTCTCCTAACCATGCAAGTGGCAAACTTCGGTTAGTGTATCCAACGCTAAGTGTGATCTTTCATCCTTATAACAGAAGGCAGAAATGGCATGCCACAATCCTGTCAACCAGAGACCATTTTCCCATTAACTTTTCTGATTTGTAACACCTCATCACCATATTGTGGAGTGAAAAATGAAGATACCCTGACTGCTTCCTATTATTACAGTGAAGACCTCAGATCCAACTCTGATTTCACTCTAGTTTCAAGTAGATTAATTTAAGCTTAATCCTCATTCAGTTCTGTGATAACTTTTCACAAGCCAGTGTGCTGTCTCTATACACCCACTAGCATGGGTGAACAGCAGATGAATTTGTTGATGAAGTAGGCATTTTGCTTTGTAATGTTTACTCCCACATGCCAGAGAAAAATGGCTCTTTGCATACTTGTCTGTCCTCATTGTAACCCAACTTGATTTGCTCTTTTATTCCTAAAACTAAGATAAAAGTGGGTATCTCCTTCTGAATGCACTGTTTTCTTTTGCACTAGGTAATAATGCACTACAGTATCCCAGATTTCAGCAACACTGAAGAGTTTTTAACCTTACTTGCTCAGAAAAGGGGTATGCTGAAAAAGGGAGGTGTTCCTGACGTAGAGAGTATAGCTAAATTACTGCTTTGTGACTGGACAGGGTACGTATGCTATGAATTTTGCTTTATGATGATTACCTTTTCCAGATTATTAATCCAGCATAGCAGAAGGTCTGAGTCCTGCAAAGTACTTAGAAAGCAGAGGCTGCTTGCTTTCTTGTTTTTGTTTTCTCACATTTTACTTTGGTAAAGAGAGATGGATTGGCTAACAGATTCACAGAACACCATCCATGGATAATTTTCTAAGGTAGTGAAGGATACATGGAAAGAGTCAAAGCATGTTGCACATCACCTCATAGCCATTTTGCTGACCTCTGCTACAAATCTGTCAGGAGAATTTGCCTTCCTCTCAAATACTGAGTCCATTTAGTCTTCTTCCACAGACAGAAAAGGATATGGGAAATTTTCTGTGGAAATTTAGAGTGGTTCCTATATTCTGATGATGGGAATAAATGTAACTCAGAATCAGTAACTGAGTGTGACTATGCCCTTGCTCAAGTGATTCAGCTGCTTTTACAGACATGATTTGTGGTGACAAAGTATGCCATTTCATTTTCCTCTCAGAAGTGGGCTATCCACTTAATACTGTTATTGACAGCTTCAGAGTCAAAGTTAAATAGCTCTTTAGCTATTTAACTGCTGTTAAACAGATTATAATAAATGAGTAGTTAGGGTGAAGCATTTAAGAGATTTGTGCTCTGAGTTTTATTTTTAAATACAGTGATTTAACTTTGTTATCTTTGGTTGTTTGTTAATGCTGACATTTTCTTTTCCCAGAGCTAAAATAAGCTACCACTCACAACCTCCAGAATCTCAAAGACTGCCAATATATCTTACAGGAGACAAAATAGCTGAAATGCAGAAGTGCTTTAACTTAAAGAACCTAGAAGAAGAAAATAACAACACTGTTCAAGGTAGGACTGTTACTGTAATGCACTGCTACTACTAAGAGTAGTGGTAGTAGTTTTAATGGGAGATTTTGAATGGAAGTCCTCCTGGGGTTTTTATCATTGCTTTGCCAATATGCAGTGAATATGAACCTTCTAAGAAAGAAATGGATTCTGATGCAACAGAACAATGCATGTTTGTGCTATCTTAACACAAGTTACCTTTCCTTGTTTTTAGTTTCTGCTTATCTGACCTAACCCTAAGTAGGAAATAGGGTAGAAGAGCACATAAACACTGACTAATTAGGCCAACAAAATATATTTTACTCAGTACAATCTACACTCAAATCCAAGTCGTTAAGCTCCTAGCAGCCTTCTGTAGATGTCTCAGGGAAAAAGCTATTTTCAGAGAATTGTCCTTTGTTCTACCTGCTTATGTGGGAGTGCTGTGTTGTGGAAGAGCAGAGGCAGAACTGTTTTTCTAGCCCTGACCTAAAATGGCTGTCCTCTCAGGGGACAAGCATTACAACTTGTGCTGTCTAACACTGACTTAACAGAAACTTCCTCTGTTTTTCCCAGCTTTAAAATACCCCACTCCAGCAAGCAGCATAATTTTTCAGTCAGCTGGTATGGTAAATGGGATAATAGAGGAAAATAAAGTGATAGAGGAAGCATCAGAGTGGGAAAACTTGGAAACAAGCAAGGAGGAGGAGGAAGAAGAGGAGGATTTCACGGAAAGTGATTATGATCAAGATGATGTGGAAGAAGAAGAAAAGGATGTCAGAGAGGTAAATGAGGGTTCCATTATGATTATTCTACCTCTTTAGATCCTGACACCAAGTACCCACTCAGTATCCTGGTGTAAACTGATGATGTGTAGGTACTGTGGAGCCACCAGGAGTAATCAAAAAGCCTTTCTTTCTGGAGATAAGGGCTGGGCTTTTTGCTTCATTAAGGAAACAATATTGTTCTAAGGCAGAGTGTTCCTGACCAACTGTACAAGGGGGCATCCACGCTATCATTGGTCTCTGTTAAGTTTCATTTGCATGGGAGACTTCAATAGTGCTGTCTGAATAAACACATCTGACCTTTCTGACTTGTAGGAAAGCAAAGTTCAGGTCACCAGGAAAACAAAGCTTGGAAAAGGACAAACAAGTCCTACACATTCAGAAAAGCAGATAGCAGGTGTGTATTAAAACCCCTGGCTTGAAGGATAGTCTCTATTACTCTAGCACTGGCATTGGTTTCACTAACACACAGTTTTCTTTTCTCAGAAAGCGAACATTCCAATTCACTGTTGTTCAGTTTGGATAAGACAGCAGATGAAGATGATGCCTATGATTTTAATACAGACTATGTGTAATGAGTTATGTGTGAAGACACCCTCTGGAGACTTAGTACTGGCTTTCAGAACAGTCATGAAGACTTGTGTTTCAGCGGAAGTTGGAGGAATGCTGCATAGATTCACAATTACTGCTGTGTCAAAGAGTATATAATAGTGCATCTCCCTTGATCGTTCCAGATTTTATACAAGTCTAAGAAACTGACTGTACTCAGCTTTGAGTCTTAAACTTTATTTCCTGTATTAAAGCCTGTTTTTAAAAATTCCTCATAGACTGAGTTAGTCTGTTCCCTTTGCCTGATAGAAAGATAAACCCTTTGTCTTTTTTTTGAAAAAGCAAGGGTAAATGTTTCATTCTAGTCCTGTTCAAGCAATTACATTTCACGGTAAGTTTTCATCCTTCATAAAATTGTTTTTCCTAGAGGATTACAGAGTGTGACTTAAGTCAGTAACTTTTCAGTATACTTTTAAAAAACTTGTAGAGCTTTTGTATGTAAAGGTTGGCTAGGAAATGTTACTTGTTTCAGCTAGACATAAGGCACTGCTTTATATGTTCAGAACTTTCACTGGGAAGGTTAGCTGAGATGATATTGATAATCTGTCTTCACTGGGGAACAAGCTTCTTCTTACAGTGCTCTTGAACAGAAGACACTTCCTGATGACACCTGTTACACATGGCAACAACTGTTAACTGTAAAGCAAAACAGTTCCCTGTGCAATCATATTATTGCACTCAGCCTATCACAGAACTACAGTAGCAAGAGAATTGCCAAGAGGCTCTGCAGCTGCTCAGTGAATTAAGCATTTAGAATAAATACCTGGTGTCAAGCATCTTCCCCTCTCCTACTAACTTAAAGGTCTAGTTTCTGCGTTATTTTCTTTATTAGATAGTTTATATTGGGGCACAGTTGTAAGCAGTTTAAAAAAACATGAAGTGCAGTTCGTTTAAGCCTACTAAACCACAGCCCGGTCAAATTTAGTTTGACCAATCAAAATTAAGTTGGTGTCAGCTGAGCTGGTACAATCTTTCAAAGTTTGGTAACAACTTACTTCATTATTCCTAACCACTTCAAGGCCAAGGATGGTTCTTGTTTATCAAAACCCAGGAAAAGAAATGACAGGTAGGAAACCACAAATCAGCATCCATGACAAACAGAACTACAGACAGTGACTGCAACGAGTCAAGCAGCTGGAAGTCCTTTTAAATTATAAAGCAGTACTAAAACCATATTCATACACACGAACAAGCCCTTTAGCTCTTTGCTGCCCTGTATCAGAGCATGCAACACTCGGCCTGCATTAACACAAAGCCTTTTGTCTAAACATCTTGTACTGAGGACTGTTCACAAGCATTATTATGGAATAAAAATGACAATGTGAGTTCAGACCTGTGTGAAATTAAATAGTTGGCACGATTGCTGATGGGATATATCAGCTAATAATAACCGCTGCTCAAGTTTAACACTACAGCTGTTAAAAAACTTACTTGGAAAAAAGGCAATGGGTGGCTGGCTGCAAAAGGGCACAGGAATCTCAATGAGTTTAAAGGGCCAGACTGGGAAAGGCACAGTAGGAAAAACTTCTGTAGCGGAGCCACGCTCACTTGAGAGAACAATGAGGAACTTAATCTGTAACTCATACAGCCTGATCCCCAAATTAAACATTCTGCACGCTTTCAGAATGAGATTACTTTTGTAAAGATGAGATCAATTGACATTAGTTTCAATCACTGGCTACTGAAAGTACAAAGGAAACGCACGTCAGGTATCAGATCAAGACTAGAATCAGATTGCCGTTTACCTGAGGTTTGAGTCAACATGTTAAAATTAGCTTTTATTTTTGAACAAATATTCTCTACCACTTTACAAAAAACATCTTAGCGTTCACTGGCGGTTAAAACCCACTTTGCATAGTGAAATAATACTTGAAAAATTAATCTTTCAAAATTACAAGATTCAATTTTGCAGAATTCTGCAAGGAAAACACAGAAATGGTTGGGAGGAGATGACATGCAAGAAAGGGTTGTTGAGGAAACTACTTCACAGGATAAGGAAACAAAAAAACAGAATAAAACCCAAGCAGCTCTTAATTACAGTACATTGCTGTGCAAGATCTGCATGGTGCAAGCACCAGCTGAAGTCGTATCTTGTTCTTAGAAACTGTTTCTTTCTATAGCTGACAAAATGATCCTCCTCTAGAAGACTTGTAGTAAAGAGCAGAAAAACTCACCACAACAGACAGAAATGAACTAACAAAAGTGCTAGCTTGTGGAGGAGAATCCTCCCTTGCTTTCTGTAGTGCTGCTGGAGTACCATTGTCTGTCACACAAGTGAAGCACGTCTCCTTTGGACCTGTGCATTTCAGAACTGCACCTGAATAACTGCATCACCTTATACTCCAGAAGGCAAGGACTGCTCTGTAATACAAGTTGGCTAAAAAAAAGTTCTGCTTGGCTCTGTAAGTTTCCTGAGAAAATGCCATCAATTATTAAAACTGATTCTACTTTGCTTCATAGGCTTCTGAATGTCTACGGATCAGGCTGAACTTGCCTGTAGGGTCAGGGACATACCACTTCTCCCAGACTTCAGCGTATGAAGCTGTTCTTCCCCATGGTTTGAAATGGCCATTCCAATGGAGCAGCTTGGCAGCTTTCACAAACTGAGGAGAGTACCTTTTTCCAGCACTAGACCCTTTTATTGAAAAAGAAGCATTAGTGCCTGAAATAAAGGCAGCAGAAACACCAACATGCAATATTTTAACTTCAAACTAAAGGCTTTTAATAAAGGAAATCTTGTCATTTATGGAGAAAGGAGGTGATATGGGAAGCAGAAATCGGGGAAAAGTGAAAAATGTAATCAGGTACAACTGAATGCCACTTTGATCTGTCTCAGCATCTATTTTAACGTACTGCCTTAATTTCCAAGTTCTTTAAAACCCCCTTAATACCCAGATGTATTCAGCAGCCTATGTAATGTTCATTGGAAACAACCCAAGAAAGCTCTCCCAGCATTGGGGTTTCACCAGTAGCAGAACAGATATGAATGTCTGTTCCTCTCAACAGTCTTGGAAGAAACACCTAGGATTAACTTCAGTTGCAATATATATGTGAAAAGAGAAAATGAAAATTAGAAGTAACTTGAGAGTAAGTCAATTCAAGAACTAACCCCCTAGCAGTCCAAAAAATAACATGAAGGATCAGGCCCACAGGCCCCAAGATGTTATTGCAAAGCAGTGTTTCTTCAAGAGCAAGGTATAAAATAGGGGAAGAAGAGATCTATTTGCTGCATCATCAACGAGGTGTCCAGCTACAGACCTGGAAAAACACACTGGAGGAGCAGTGTCACAATTGTTCATACATACCGAGATGCCGGACATTCCACATGGGATCAATACTGGAATGTTGCTTGTAAAATACAATTAGCAGTGGAGGTGTTGTGATGCTGCCAGCCAGAGTCCTACTGTAAAGTTCCTCTCTGGAACAGAAGATGAAAACAAGTTGGGAAAAAGGATGCTTGTGTGGCCCTAAATCAGTTGATTTTTCATTTGCAGCTGCATGACAGGAATCCACAGATTCATACACGGCCCTTCATTGAACAGTTAAATGCCATCACCATAACCCAATCCCTGACCTGATGCTGCCCTCGGCTTGGGGGTACTTACGCTACATTAAGTGCCATCCACTTCTCCAATTGCTTAGTGATGTTCTGTAATTTCCATTCTGTCAAATTGGCAACAAAAACTCCTGGATTGAAAGAGCAGGTGTTGGCTTTCATGGCAAGCTTTCGGATGGTTTCTTTTTTGTAATCTAGGAACCCAATGTAATTATACTGGGGAAAAAAGAGTAGACACTAGCTTAAAATATGGTCAAATTACTATTTAAAGAAAAATTAAATTTTTCTCCCAACAGATAAGCATAACTTGAGGTTGTTAAAGCAAATACTCCTTCCTTTAAAAAAAGAGAAAGAAAGCTTAAGAGGTCTAACATTTAAAAAACATGATTATATAAACTACATACTTTAAAGAATGCTGCATGGTCTTAGTAATACCATATTATTTATATGGTACCAGTCCCTAGAAAAAGTACTTTTTATACACTCAGAAATGAAAAACTCTCCCTCTGATGTTCTAAGACCTCCTGCTGTTCCATGCTGGGAATTGCTCTCATTGTAAAGCAGAGCAAAAATTTGAAATGCTTTTACTGTGCCTTAACAGAAACTGCAGGCATCATTTGTAACACAAACACCAAGAGTAAATCGATTCGGGTAGGGACAGTCACACATTTAGGTTCGCTGCATTTGGAAGTCAACCTGCAAGAATATTAAAACCGACTGCATGTTTCCAAAGCCTGGGATCTATTGTATTGTTACCACTGAATCAGGATAAAACTAACCTGATTGCCCGCTCCACGGACAGCAACTTTATTAGAGGTTGAGTCACAATCATCTGAAAATGCAGCTGCATGTCCAGGTTTCAGTGGAGTGTTGTATAGTTCAAGAATATCATCTGGAAAATGGAAGTAAGCACAGAAAAATTAAAAGCAATCCGGATTAAGCCGAGTGACTTTTTGTTCAGTCCGTTGCTACAGCAGCTGAAACCACTCAGTTTAATATGACTCGTTCATACTGACAAAGTTTTTACATATTTCCTTGAAGTGTTTGGTTACTGTAAGAGATGGTGTACCGACCTCAGCATAAGGCCAGTGGCAAAAGGCTAAGAAACGGTCCCATACCTTGCACAATTATATCATCATCCACATAGATGGCCTTCTCCGCATGAGGTACCAAACTGGGCAGGTAGAATCTTGCAAAGGTTAACTGTGAAAACAAGAAAGCAAGACAAATGAAGAATTAAATGAAAAATTGTCCAAATAAATATGGAATTGACTGATGCTCCTGGCACTTATCTATGGCACTAACGTCCAAGACAACTTCTATCAAGGAAGTAAAATAGGCAGCAATATCCTAGAAGTCATTTAAAAGAAACAGGTTCCATCAATTCCTGGTTTCCTATGAATTTGCGCATGGATAAACTAACTTTAAAACTGGTCTATATTAGAATTTATTTCTTCAGATATATCTGTAGTATCTCTGAGGTGTTGGCATGCTTGACATGCAAGCTGCTGTGCTTCACTGTAGCTAGCAGCAAAAAATGATACTAGGCATGCATATGTAGATATTCAAATCCGTCTCTCACTATCTGGAAATTTGCTGAAATTTAGGAATCTGATTATAAAAGATTGCTTCTATGCTAACAGATTTGGTTTTGATCTCTAGTTGCGTTCAAAAGCCAGTATCAAAATACACTGTTACTAACTAATAATCGCAAAAAGTAATCAACATCATCCTCACTGGTTTTAAGGTGTCTGCCGTTTGAGGATCCACTTGTACTTTCCCTTCTAAGACACGAGGGTCAAAATCCAAAATTCGGTATCTCAAATTTTTCAGAGCAGTGTTACTTAGCCATAGCCTGCAAACGGGAGAAAGGTACAGATCTTGTTAAATGAGACAAAGTCAAATGAAAAGCAAGAGATCCTATTGACAGTGACACCGATCTTGATCTGGCCACTTGCTTCCCTATCCAACAAACATATATATAGAATGTAATCTACAGCTGATGTTGGCATCCTGTATGACTTCAGGGGCATGCCCACTATCGGCATACTGCACAGCTGTGACACATGAAAGGTATGAGGGTGCTCCTTATTTTATTAGAATTATATGGTCCTGTTATCACAGGTCCTTCACAAAAAATGTCAGTGTGAACAGATATGGGCAAAAATAAAAGGATCAAAGAACAACCTAGAAAAATGGAGAAACTTCACTGCCAGCATTTGAATTGCTTAGATGAAATGTAGGAAGCAACTTTTACAGCCCCTTCACCAGTGAACTCCAATCCCACTGGTTGGATATAACCCCACTGGAAAAGATGGCTCCTCTTCATCCCTGAAACATTACCAGAAGGAATGAGTGTAGGACTCCCCGCAGCTGCCTCGTCAAAAAGCTGCAATAAACAGCAGCAGATAGACTGCAATTTAGAGTAGTGCAGTTCCAGGGACAGTCAGCTCTTCCTCTTCTCAGAGACACTTAAGTTTTATCGTATTGTGGGAATCTAATGAATAGATCATTACCTCAAGTGATCCACAGTATCATTCAAAGTAACAATATGGAAAACCACGTTGGATCTGGTGTGACGGTAAATACTGTTCATGGCTGCAATTGCACCCCCAAGCCTCTCATCTGATGCTGCAATGACCACAGAAATCTCCTTATCATTCCTTTCATCTGCCAGCCTCTGAGGAGCTGCAGGTATGAAATCTATAGGCTGAAGTCCTAATGGATTTGAATCTGTAGAGTACAAATGGCATCACATACTTGTGTTATGCAAATGAAACAGACATTATTACCACACTAAAATTCCCAACACCTTCAATTTTTTCTACTATGCAAGCACTTGGGTGTCTCAACTGAGGCGTGGATTACAGCATGCCTGTATCAAACACTTAAAATATAGCACCTGCTCTTGAGACTCCAAGATGTTAATGAATAGGAAAACATCAAATAAACTACATATATTTAACCATACATATACACACACAGCACCAGGTACTAAAATGAGGCTTAAACTACAGTAGGCTGCACTTACCTTTGGTCCCCTCTGTAATGCCTGTAATATCACTGACTTCCCCCTCACATTTACCCTACCCACCTTCTGGTCTTTTCCACATCACCCTTCCCTCCTTTTCATATACTTTCTTTTCCTCCCAGGTAAGAACCAATGAAGAAAACAGAAATTCTAAATTAAAGTTACTGTTGTGAATTTTTTTTCTGCCAAAGATCAAGGCATTAAGTACAGACCCATGTTTATTCCCGGGATCACAGATCACACTACATTATCTAAGCTGAACCTAAAAGAATTCATACTGATAGTGTGCAGGCAGGAAAACGGGATATCAGTGTTGAACTTTATTACTAGACCACATCACCTGTAAAAGCTGGCAAATTGGCCACTACCCACACTTCTTGTAACAATGCTGGTACCTTTCAGATGATCTAGACTATTACATATTAGATAGTTTTAGGAATGTAGCAAACAGTGACTTGGCAGTTTGTGGGCAGTAGTCTGCTGTTCACAAAGCTGGGTTTCTGCTTCTGTTTGCCATTTCCTGATGACAGAGCTCAACAGCTTTGACTTCAACTGATTCCTGGTTAAGGCCTGTCAGGCTCCTGTTCAACTGCTGTTGGGAAGCACCTGTACAGCTGCCACACAAAAGCAACAGCTCCCAGAAGTGCCAAACTGGGACTTGGCAGTTAATGGGACATGGAGAGGCTCTGTGGGACCACATGCAGCTCTTAAAAGCAGACTCCCAGAAATGAAAATGCTTTGTCAAGTAAACCGAATTATGTCTTAATGACTTTAAAAGCCAGAATGAACCCCTACTGCTATCTCCTCTGGCTTCCTGACCGAGAAAAGTCTCAGCACAGCCAGAACAGACAAGTCCACCAAGCTGAAGTTTCTCGGGTATGAGAACAGGAAGAGATCTAGAATAATAAAAGAACATAAAAGAATTAAAAAATTATATCTTGTTATGCAAATGACTGATCACTACCATACGCATTATTTCAGCAAGGTAGTGTTTTCTGTCTGGCCAGAGCATGTGCCTTCCTACCAAACTTAAAAAAATTAATCATTTTAAATTAAAATAAAACTCAACATACCAGATAATTCCCGTTTCAAGAAGTCACTGAGGCCTAGGAAGTTATGATGAAGAACTAGCAAAAATATCACAACAGCCACTATAAGGATGGAAATGTTCACTGAAAATTTAGAAGAAAAAATTTCATCATTATAACCAGAGAACAACTGGGAATCTCAGAAAAGTACAGAAGAGATTTTTAAAAAATGGGACACACACATATATGCATACCTTTCCTTAATGTCATTTTTCTCTTATTTTATTTACTATCATAAGGTTCCTGCAAACCTGCAAGAGAAAAAATACAGCTGTCACTTCCTACTTCCAGTGCATGCCTACACAAGGCATAGCACAGATACCAGGAGTGTCAAAACAGTTTCCAAATGCGGTGAACGTTTCATTCTCTTAAAAAGATAAAACCGCATGTCACATTTTAATAACTGAGTATGTTATCTCAGGAAGTACATATCTACAGTGATGTATCTAAAGAAGAACTCAGATAAAAAGGGAGATCTTGCCACTTACTTCACTGACAGAAAAAAAACACTGCACTCCTGCCACTCAAAAGTGATCTGAAAAGAATCTGGAAAATTATGTATAGTTTCTTTACTGTTGAGCCAATTTGTTTAACTATCTGAACTGGAAGCATCCCAACAGTAATACAAATGATTATACATTTCTTTCCATACTTAACTAACTGCAAATTTTGGCAGGACACAGTGTTTATGAGATTTTAACAAACAGCATTATAGACTTTCAAAACCATTAAATTCCCCATGTAAAATACAACTGAATACCACCTGAAGTGTCATCGTACAAAAAAAGATCACAGAAGTGTGAAAGAAGGTATCATCATCATGCGATAGAAGGGGGTAAAACCACAATGCAATAATGCAGTTTTGGTATGCAGTTCACACACACTTATTCATTACTTGACAGTAGATGTGAAATCTGAACAAGACCTACGCATCCTGTGAAGCAGCTCTCAAGTAACACACAGAAAGCACTCACGCCATAACATGCAAAATTCAAGAAACGGTGACAGTTCTATATCAAGCTACTTGCAAAACCTCCGAATTAAAATATGGCAAACTGTGCTGTGACTATTGTGTGAGACGTAACCGCCTTCCTTCCACGGCAGCATTTCTCCCGTTTATCCAGCACAACAAACGCACGCCGTGTGCCCTGCCTGCGGCGCTGCCGAAATGGGTCAGGACACGTAGCCTCGCTTTACAGGCAGGCAACGCAACGTCTCTTTCAAACGAAGCCCGTGGCAAAGCGGCGCGGAGCGGGCGCGCACAGGGTCCGTGTGCGGCCCTTCAGTGACACCGCAGCAGCCGGCGCTAGAAGCACTTACAGACCGATTCCCCCAGAAATCACTCAGTGCAAACGCAACCCCACGCTGAAATACTGAAAACACCTGCTCGTGGCTACGCTGGCGCCATTTCAGTCACTCCGGTGACGCGTTTACACACACTAAGCCGGGCACGCAACTGCTTCTCCCCCCGCCCCCCAGCTTCACCGCATCCTTCGCTTCACCGCAGCATCGCCCGACAGCACAAGCCGCGCTCCCCCGCCCCGGCCGCGGCCCCAGGAGCCCCGCTCCGAGGCCGGCTGGACGGGGCGCGGCGCTGCTCTCCGCCCCCGAGGCCCCACCGTCCCCCTCACCGGCCGCCCGCGCCGCCGCCAACTGCCACCGCGGCAGCGCAGCGCCCCCGCCGCCGACACCACCTACCAGCACCCCAACGCGTCGCAGGTGACCACGGCGGTGCCTGATAGCGGCGGAAGAGCGAAGACCGCGCCGCGCACGCCCTGCGGCACCAGCCGGGCTGCGGCAGTTGCCGGTGGCTTTGCGAGGAGAGGTCGAGCCCTTGGGCGCGAGGGGCCTCCGGCAGGCTGCAGAGTCAACGTCAACTCCGCACAGGCGGCCCCGAGGGCGCCTTAGAACGGCTGGCTGCAGGCCCCTCAGCCAGGGGTCCTGAGGCTCGAAGCCGCCGTTGCCAGGGAGACGGCGTCCCGCGCCGCGCCGGCCGTTGCGGATGGCGCCGCGGGGCGGCGAGGGCGCGGTGGGGGCGGAGGCCCAGGCCCGGGGCGGCGGCGGCGGCGATGACGGCGCGGAGCCGACGGCTGAATCGGGCCGCCACCCCCCCCCGGCTGAGGGAGGATGGGGCGGAGCGAAAGGGACGCGTTTCCGGCCAGCTCAGCGGCTGCCTTCCGCTCCCGCTGCCCCGCGGTAGGCTCCGCGCGGAGCGCCGGGACCCGCCGAGCCCGCCCGCCGCCCCCGCCTCGCAGGGCGACGCCGACTGCCGGCAGCTGCCGCAGAGCCCTGGCGAGGAAGGCCGAGGCGACTACGAGGCGTACCGTGAGGCGCCGCTCTCCGCCGCCATGTTGAACATCTTCCGCTCCATCCCCACGCAGATGGTAGGGCAGCCGCCACGGGCGGGCACGGGCCCTCGCGGCGGGGGCGGGCGGGTTCGGCCGTCCCCTCCCTCCGGGCGGTGTTTGGCACCTGTGCGCCAGGTGGGGCTGAGGGGTTGCGAGGTGCTACTCCGCATCGAATTTCGATTTTTTGGTTCTGAAAGTTCAGCTTCAGTGTGCTGGAAATGAAGGTAACATACAGCTGTGCAAGGGAACCCCATCTGTACTTTTCTGACTGTGCTATATACAGCCAGAAGACAGTGTTTTCATCGGGAGCCCCGTTTTCTAAAGTCATACAAACACAGGTGACATACTGTATCTTCTCAAGAATATACTTTCTTTTGTGGTGTTACGGCTTTTATGTAGTGGTATGAAGCTAACTACAGTGGTGTTTTGAACTTGCATTACTTATCCTGAACAGACTACTGGCTTTTGTTTTCAGATGATATGGTCAAGACTACAGGGGAGGTGTTATGGGAATTAAGAATTCTTTTACGCTTGAAATCCAGACGCTGTAAGAGAAAGAATTCCAGTCTGGTTTGCAAGTTGAACAAAAAAGTTGAGACGCTATGGTCAGGTTCACTCTAGGCCCTGACCTGAAAGACTTTAACTGGTACATTTGTGTTTTGGGTAATTGACAAAATGATATCTGTTCCCACAGGACTACAAGGGCCAAAAATTAGCAGAACAGATTTTTCAAGGAATCATTCTTGTCTCTGCAGTAAGTATACTAGAACTATGGGTGATAACATACAGGACTACTTTGTTTTCTGATCTTACAAACAAGGTTTTTTTCTGATTGTTTGGCTTAACTGGGTCACTAAAAGCTGTATGTCTTTTCTTCTTTTGATCTACTTTCATTATTGTCCTACGATTTTGAAAGTAAGGTTAGAAAGACGTAAGATCTGTACTTTTGAAAAACGTGTATTTTTCTACTTAAATTCTCCCCCATCACCACCCAGCTTAATCATGACATGGGAATTGTTTTTGTTTGGAGTTTGATTTTAAATTTTCTTTTTTTTTTTTTTTTTTTTTTTTTCCAGATAATTGGTTTCATCTATGGATACATCACTGAACAGTTTGGATGGACTGTCTACATAGTAATGGCTGGATTTGCTTTATCGTGTTTGGTAAGAATTTTTTTCCCCAAACCAGAAAATACATGCACTATTTAACCTGAAATAGTCATTAAATTAAGGGGCTGTACCAATACATATTTGTACTTTTCTTGATCTGTAGAAAGTGTTTTACAAGCCAGTAGATGCCTCTTCTCAAATGCTAGTAAGGTTTTAGAGAACACTGCAATTTAATACTGCTTTTGAATTAGTTTTTCATTCCAATTAAATGTTACTTTTAAGTCAAGCTCATAGCACTGATAACCGAAAGGACAGCGAGGCTTCTGTGGAGTAGTAGCTTGTCATGAAAATTCTGCAGCTGGCCCATGCCAACTGAGGAGAGAGGCTAGGACATAAAAGTATGGAATTAAGAGTAATTCCTTAGTCATACACATGAGGTGTCCCGTTCCAGTTGGGGCACACCAAATGGGGTTTTACACATGGTTCTTAGACCTTTCAAGCGTTCGGATCCAACGTTTTGACCACTCACTACTTAACACACACATACTACTGTAGGGAAAAGCTAGTATAATTCTATGGCACCATCATCTATCTGCTTCTTTCTTGATCTAAATGTCCCTGGAGCCAGTCTTGCTACAGTTACCTATCTACGATGCCATATTCTGGGAGGGTTTCCCAGAGGTGGTAGAAGGGCTAGGATGCTGGTGTGACCTTGGTAGCCTGGGAGATCCTTTATTCTTCAGGGTGAGTGCTGTTGTTCTCCTTGCAATGATCTGGGGTCCTTTAGTCATGCTTACTTAAAAATGACTATGCAGTATATAATGTAAACTATAGAGATATATATCTTTCTGGTATGAAATTCTATGAACTTTATTAACTGATAGAAGAGCTAAGGAATAATACTCTCTTAGCAAGCTGTACAAAACACTTATCTAGCCTCTTGATTTACATGTTCTGACTTCATTCCTTTTCCCTAAGCTAACACTCCCTCCATGGCCTATGTACCGCCGCAATCCTCTGAAGTGGCTACCTGTCCAAGAGTCGGGAACAGAAGAAAAGAAGCCAGCAGACAGAAAGCCAAAGAGACATTCTAAAAGCTAAAAAAATGTGGTTCTTTGTGCTGTTACTTTGTTGAATTTTGTTAAATGCATTTCCACTGGAAGATACATCTTGGCTTAATGTCTGGGTCTTTTCTTACTATTGTGTATACTACCTTGAGGACACCAAGATCTGCAGAGATCATGATGGTGCTCTAAATTTTGGCTGGAGTTTCAGTGAAGTCATGGGGAAGACAGGGGTGGGGAGATTAACTTTAGAAGGCTACTGGAGGTCACATCTTAAGTATTTTAGTAAAAAGGAACACAGTGACTCAAGTATAGTTAAGCTGTTAAGATCATATACAGCTGGACTTCTACTTAAATATTTCTAACAGTCTATAACCCAAGCTGGCAGTAGCGTCAGGCTGTAACAAGTACTGTAAAACTGTACACACCCTACAGTTCTGAGGATCTGTAAGAACTGGAACCTGTTCTAGGACGTGAGATTGCAGAGGGGTGCTTTTTGATTAAAACAAATTTGTCCAGGTAGAGAAAGTAACATTTTGACTCTGCACACTACAATAGCTCCTAAAACCTCGTAACTTGAGCATCTAGTGTGTGAAAGGCAGCAGGATCCACAGGTACTGCACTTTTTTAGTACTGACTGGCATGTTAGTCACCCTCATAGGTGCTGGAGGTTACAGCCTTTAAGCTGGAGGCAGGGAAAGAGACAGGTTGTGCATTTAAAATTTTATTTTACAAATTCAATTCCTTTTGACTTCTTTAGCCTTTATAAAGAACACATGTTTTTTCTGTAGTGATGGTACTTGACAATGCCTGGGCAGGTGTAGCAACACAACCTAGATGCAAAGAAAGGGCAAAAACGAAGGTGCCTATTTCTCTAACTGACTCTGGTCTTGGGCACTTTCATTCCTAAAAGGAATTAGTATTTGTAAGGCAAAGAGATTTCTTCAGCTGGGTCCATGGTAACCATGTCTATCGTTTAAACATTTTCAGATTTACTTTATCCAGTTACCAAATACTTTCCACCACCCTACTGATTGCCTTAGCAATAAAATACAAAAGGAAAGGCTCTGTTTAAAAGCAGTACAGCCACCCCCATCAGGACTTTTAACTTGGCAATTTACAGAACCTGCTACAAAAATTAGTAATTGTTTCTCCCTGCTAAATTTTTACAATGTAATAGCTTAGAGCCTATCAATCACACCATAGCCTTGGCATATATTTTGTTACCATATTAAAACCACCTATTCAAACCACAACATTTTTTTTAATACTCCTTTGTATACAAAACTTGGTATCCATCCCTCTTTGCATCTATAAAAAGCAATTTTTTTAAAGTTTCATTGAGAAAATAAAAACTAAACAGTTTCTCTTCTGAGAAAGTGATAGCCTAGTTCACATTTTAACATGAAAAATATTACTACAAACTGTAACCTTTTTTGCAAGTTCACCTCCTTACTCCAGCAGAGGAGGTCGGTGGATAAATGTGCTTTGTAAACTAGCCCAATCCATCAAATGAGCTATAAAACAGTACTTTTCACTAAGGAAAAGGTTCTGGTCAGAACTTCACATTTTCTTCAAGAAATTTCAGATGGCGTGCCTTCGCACTGTAACTTCTATACTTGTCTCCCATATGCTCCCGCAACTGCAGCTATTCAAAACAAAAACAAAAAAAACCCACAGTTTATTGACATTGAAAAAAGCAGGAATTACCAAAATGTTAACAAAAAAACATACCAAAGCACTCAACTGATAGCAGCATGTGATGTTTGACAACACAGATGGGAGGGAAGAAAAAGGAAAGTGTTTTTGTTGTCTGGAAGCAAGCAAGTTCCAAATCCCACCCAGCAGTTTAAAATATAAATCAGATCTTCACAGGCTATACCTACCCATGCGGTATTTCAATTGTAACCAAGTTTTGAATCGAACGAGCTGGAGGTATTGCTCACTCAACTTCTTTTAGGAACATACATCAAACTGTTTCTCACTTTGGACATAAGGGCCGTGAAGCAAGTAACATGAAAAATTACTGGTCAGAGAAAATAACTATCAGAGAAACACCACAGAGTAAAATTACTCACATCCTTTGCATATTCCACAAACTGGGGGACCAGGGTACAATTCTAAAGCTCCTATGCTTTCTGAAGAACCTGTGATTGAACATAGTCTACATGCAGAATCAAACAACTGAAAAGCGACAATATACTTACACCCTTGCCTGCCAATACTTTTTGGAAACAAGGTTTGCACTACTGTATCAATATCTAAAAAGGAAGGGGGGGCAGTAAAGACCCTGCTCATTTATCTAGGTTTACAAAGAAATTAAACCATTTTATTATGGAAGACATTCACCTCTTTTTTCACTTCATCATCTTCTTCCATGATCCTGTACACCTTCTCAAGAAGTTTCACTCCCAAACCTTGCACCACATCAGATCTCAGGATTTCAATCACTCTCCTAATCTTGTCAGGAACTGGTAACATATCTATCCAAAAATAAAATAGAAAAAACCCCCACAAATCAATGCAGTAATGATTAGTTCCAGTAGAACAAATTTTCATACTCCATGCAGAAGAATATGGGACGACTATAAGTATGACCACAGAATTCCAGCTGACTGTTTGCATGCAATAACTTTTTATCTGAGCTGGCTTGCTAGAACAATCAACACTGTGAATCAGAACTTAAGACACTGGACAGTACAAAGTCAATACAGACAGTTTGCACAATTAGGTTCCTCTAACTTCATTTCAGGTGGTCCCTGTATTCTACACTGCAAATTTTTGAATGAAAAGTACTATAATACTACACCACCACCCAAATATTTTATTAATTCAGTCACTTGTACTTACAGAAAACATTAAAAAAGTTTTATCATTGTAAAACTCTAATGGCATAATTTCTGCCATCTGTCTGTTTATCTCAACAGTCTTTGAATCTTTTGCTCCTCAGCTGAAGCTGCCAACAAGAGAGAGTCATTTTATAAGGGGACGCCTCCATTAGGAACCAAGAACGCTAGCTTGCTCTTTTAATCACTGAAACCACAAACACTCCTTTCATAGGATGGATCACCTTCTGAAAATAAAGTATCTCATCTAATTAAAATAATTTTTAGTTTAGAAATGCCCTGTCATCCCAAATGGCAGTAGTAAATAAACAGCTGGAGGATCTCACTATACAATACTTAAGAGTGAGAAAAACAGACAAAAAAACCCACCAAAAACCAAAACTGAAATTTGTACCTTCGACATTCTGTCATTGCTGTTTAGAGACAAACTCTTACAATATATTTTACTTCAGCTATGCAGAATCAACCTACCAGAGTAAAATCCAGCGTTCCCCCATTGTTTTGCCTATCACCAGACTAGTTACAAGTAGAATCCTTACCATTTAAAACAGTAAGCACAAGAAGGTCTGAGACTTCAAAAACCTACCTCAGCTTTTTCACTTCTTGTTGCATAGTAAGTGCAGTCATGGCAAATACAATTTTTTCTTGCTTTTTTAGAATACATATACATACTTAAGGTCTAAGCCAGACCTTAATTCTGAAAAGTGATTAAATTCCTGCACTTGTATCTGTAGGAAAAATAAGCTTGCCCAAATTGTGCAAAGAGGATGAACTTTTCTTGTACAAACCTCCGCCGTGTTTAAAATGCTTTGTGTACAATTTCAGATTGAACCCTAATTCACAAAATTTGATATCTATCAAATCATTTGAGTGCCTTAAAAGTCTTATTTCAAAATACTCCAGCTGTTCGTTTTGGAAGCTTCCAAGTATGTCACATGGGGAAAAAGTCATATTGCAGACTATCTTTCTCCATTAATAATTACACAGATCAATCACACATTCCTCTCATTGGCAAGTAAACCACAACTAGAGCAGTTTTGCACACAAAATTATTTAGAAAGATGTTTTACTTCTGTAAGTATTGTTGAAACTTGAGAAGAAATAAGAGTGGATTGTCTTCTGTTGCCCACTAGCAGGCCTTCTTTGGTTATTAGCTATTAAGAACCATTCGTTTAAAGCAGTAACAGAGAAACGGACCTGAGGAAATCTCTTCAAATTTTAACTCCTCTGATTCACTGGGTGATTTTCCATGCAAAATCAAAGTGTCTCGATATTTTCTATGCAGTTTAAATTCTGGGGCTGGAGTTGAGGCTACACAGTATTCAGAGTTTTCCTTAGAGTCCATTTTCAGTGTCCATGTCATCAGCTGCACCAAGTCATTCATTTCATTCACATTGCTTTTTCTAGTAGAGGAGAAATAAGATGTAATTCAGTCACCATTCATGATGCAACTTCCACCTTGCATTCAAAAGTCTTACAATAAGTTTAGTGAGGTCCTGCTAAGTACTCCAGGTTAAATTACTTCTTGTGGTGCAGTTTTATCAATAGCAGCTTTAGCAATATTGCATCTAACAAAGGCTCAGAGCTCATTCACCTAGCAACAATTCACAATCCTACCGGCTACTGCTACCTGTGTAGCTGCACCTGTGGTAATGCAACAAATAATATTTTTTTTAAAAGTTGCTTACACTGACAAAATCAGAAGTAAATTCAGCCTCATTCACAGTGGAAAGGAAGCATATTGTCACCTTTTAACTCATGCTTTTAATGCATGCTGACAATATATGTCCTTTGATGCTGGAAGACCGGTTTCCTGGGATGCTACAGTTGACAGAAAACAGAGGTACACAATCACATGTCCCAGAAAGTTCAGCATGGAAAGCTTATAGTTACAGAGAGGCAACAATTAAATGAAGTTAGTTTTCTTTATGCATCACATCTCCAATTACTCACTATGTAGAGATAAAGTGTGAAAGCAATTCCTGCCATTTTTTTCCACTCCAAGTCAAGGTCCAATACAGCAGTGAAAACTCTTACACAGTATTAAACAAAATAGTTACCTCTCCTTGGAATCGCCATCAGACTTATCTGTAGAGCTTGTGGAAGAGCTTAACTCATCATCAGACAGACAATGGGTTCCTCTTTTTCTCTAAAGGAAGAGAGAATATATGACAAAAGTTCTAATAGCTGAAAGTGTAATTTATCAATATGACATGAATTACTTTTCCTACATGGAAGAAACACTTGCAGCAAGCATGTTTTTACAATCTTGGCTTGATAACATTTAAAAAGTGTAACCCTCGGTTTTAAAAACAAGCTAATACATAGGACATCATCAACAATACTTTATGAAATGGTTATGTGACTAGAATTACATCTCAGTCATGCAGTTTTAACCACCATAAATGTTTCACCTAGTGCCTCTATTAAAAACAATTAAATCATTTATCTGTGCCAGTTCTTTGTCAACTATATTATAAAGTAACTACCCTCAGCTCACCTATTAGTCTTTAATACACATTTAAAAATAGTATTTAAATAAATTTTTATCAGTTCAGAAAGTGCCCAGCATTACCTAAAACATAGATTTTTAACCATCTCATCTCTGCAGTCTCATGTTCAGTGCACAGCATAACATGCAAAACCATCACTAGCATATGCACATACAACTAGTGTGTACAAACCTCATGTAATCCCAGTTTGTGAATGCAGATAAAGTTTTTACATTTAGACACCAGTTATAAGCATACACACATATGTAAAACATGCAAAACACTTTCCATGCAAGTGCTGGACTGAGGGAAATGGAGCCTACACTTTGAATTTCAGACTAAAATTTCTTCACTGTTACTCTTCTGCATTTATTGGTATTAATAATGTTCCACTGATGTTGCAGAAGATTGTCAAATGTATGTTTAAGACCTTAAAAAAGACTTTCTAATTACACAAGGAAGAGAACGTTAACAGAAACTATTCACTTTTCATCTAGCAACTATTCCTTATTGCCAGCACATAAATGTATGCACTTAAGATGATTACAGATTTAAAAAAAAAAAAAAAAAAAAAATATGTTCAAACACCACTATCAAAGCAAAATTAGATGTACCAGGCTAAAGGTAGTGTATTGTTAATAGAAATTTAAAGCAGACTACAGATCTGTAACTGAAGCATAGCTCAGGATAAACTTTTTCCCTTCCAAAATAAACAAACACTGCAATTTAGGGAGCCTGTAACAATAAGTAAGAAATCCCTAGTTTTCATCTCTGACAAGTGGAGTGAAAATGCACAGTAAGCCTGGAATGTTAAACTGATCTAGCCAAACAAAAAAGTGTATTAGAGATCTGTAATCTACCCCAGGACTTAAAAAGCAGTATTTACAGAGCGCTGTGTACTCTTATCGAGAAAGTTTCTTCTACACATAGATATTTTTTTTTTAAATATCACTTTCTTCCCAAATTGTGCCTGCATTAAAATATTTCAAAAGCAGATGACCCCAGTTTACCTGAGAAATACTGGGATCTGATGAGGACTGAGCACCTTTAACATGATTTTCCATATGTGATTTTGCTTCAACTACTGCACTACTGGATGTTCGTCTTGCTGGAATCACTGGAAGGATGACATTTTTACAATATTTACAACTTAGCTGCATATATTTTGAATTAGTTTCATGCTCATGCAAGAAAAAGTCTATCACCTAGCAGAAGACAGGCAGGTAGGTATTCCGCTAAAAGAAAACACTAAAGCTTCTATCTGAAAGGTGTATATTCTATGTTTCATGTGTATTTCAAAGAGAAGTTGTCACCAAACACAACATAGATGACTAAGAAGCAGAAAAATATAGACATGTTAACAGAAATTTTTCTTTAACACGGAACTAGGCCCTTGGTGCACCTTTCTGAAGATGGTAGTGAAAAACAGACAAGTTGTAATTTCTTCAAAGAAGCTATTAGCCTACCCATACATAAAATGTTAACATGCAAACATAAAAATTACCAGAAGGAAGCATCTCCTCCTGAGACTGTTTTAGCCTCCTTCGTTCTCTTGCTGACAAAGGCCGCTCCTAAGAAGTTAACTGGATATTAATTAGCAATCATCATAATGGCTTTTGTTATCTAATCACCTATAAAGCAAAAAATCCTTTTCAACTGACATGGAAGAGAGAGCTATTAAGAGTAGACCTCCTGATCATCAAACAAATGCTTGCTTATTTATTACAAAATGGTCTTGGTCAATGAGACTAATACGCACTCTAGAAAAGGAGCTTCTGACCTCCATGATTCAACAATGCAGCTTCTCATCCTGCACTGACCAGGTCCTTGACAGGACTTCCATTAGGTAGTAAGCTACTATACATTTCTTTACTCACTGTGCATATACTCAGAGAACAAACTGCTCAGAAGGAACCAGAGACAAAAATAAGCTGACACAGTATTCAGCACTAACCTTTGAAATGGCAACTTGACTGGTTTTGGTGCTATTTACAGATTGAGAGGCTTCAGCAGCATGCCGCTCTGCACACTTTGGTGTTGTCTTTGTGTTCACACCAGAAGGAAAAGGCAAAGGCCGAGGAGCAACTGTTCTGAACTTGAAAGAGAAGTGAGCAAGAATTTATACCTTTTTTGTTAAAATTTAAAGTACTCTGCAATCTAGAAGACATTCTTGCATGGTAAGGCTGCATGCCAGAGGTTTTGGATCCTACTGTAACCTCTTCACATCTCCCAATGTCATCCCTCCTTCCCCACACCTCTGCTTGCATCCACTTCCTTTCTCTCCACCCCTACATCTTGACTCCCTCTCCTCACAGACTATTTTGCAGCCAATGCCTTTGCAACAACTGTCCCCACCCTCAATTAGCAAAACCCAAGAGAAAAACAGAGTATCAATCACCAATCTCCCTCTTCTCTATCCTTGTATAGCCAGTGCCTTTCCCCAAAGAAATCTCCCTGCTCAGTGTGGAAGCATTGACAGGAACCCTATCTTACATGGATGACAATATTTTCTTCCTAGAGTTTGCACTCATAAGCTCAGGGCAAGCATTCCACACGTGTTCTAAAGTACTAGTAATCTACCACCCACTACAAGCAGCCTTATCCACAACAGTCAGGAAAAGCATTGCTGTATATTTTGTAGTCACAGCGAGAAGTCCTAATGGAAGGTGCTAGGAAAGACTGTAGCACAGCAAAGGCAAAGCCCACAGTTCACTGTTTCCTTGAGCCCATCTGGCACACCCACCTCACACCCCTGACGGTTATTGAGATTTTCAAAGATTTACATAGACTGCTTCTAAAGGACATCTTGAAAGTTCCGCACTTTGTTACCAATGAAGTTATATAGATACACATGAAACACGAACAGCATTAAAAACCCTACCCTTTTTTAAAAAATAGGCCCCCTTTTTAAAGAGTAAAAAATGCAGGAGTCTTAAGGGAAAAAAGAGAATTATTTTTTGAGTACCTGCACCTTCTCTGAACAGACTTCAGCTAGCTCTCTTTTCTTCTGCCGTCGCTGCCGTGAGAGAGAGGGTTCACTGACAGAACTAAGAGGCTGCAAGTGGGAATGAATTTTTTCCTGAGCATCTCCCGAAGCTCCATGACAGATATCATCCTAATACGTAAAAGAATTTTTAAAAAAACATAAATATGCCATTTACACATACACATTTTAAAAAAGAAGAAAAAATTCAACACAGGCCACTTTACTATTTGGACTGCATCCACCTGAACACATCGCAGTTACAACCAGAATAAACTCTTGTTAGACAGTTAGAAAAAATATCTGCTGTACCAGCATTTTTAAGCTACTAAACCTTCAAAGGAGAACACTTACTTGAATGACAACAGGAACAAATGGTGCTAGCAGCTTTTCAGTAGAATCCAAGCACTACAACAGATAAAGATTTCTCATCAGAAAAGTGTTTATGGAAAGCTCACTGTAGACCAAAATGCAATGAAAAGACAATTACCACCTGTTAGCCCCCCATCCAAATCAGGACCAACTTGAGAATAGCTAGGCTTATTTAGAACATAGAACAAAAGTTACAAAACTATTCTTACCACCTCTCTTCCTAGCTGGAAAAGAAAGTTGTTGTTCCCTGTAAAAACAGTATTTCCATCATCTAGATGCAAGCCTAAAACTACTTCACCATGTTGCCTTTGCAAATCTGAAGCCAAGGTTCCTTAGTACTTAAGCATCTCAATAATTGCATCAGGAGCGTCCTACTTTGACAGAAAACCATGTGCAGCAGCTCTCTAAATTTTAAGAGCTGGCCATTAGTTAAATCTATTTCAAAGTCTATTTCAAGTAAGCATAAATGCATTACCAGGTCAGTTTGCTTTTGGTCTTTTGATACAGGCTGCAAGAGCTTCAAAGTGTCACCATCTTCTTCTACAGCATCAACAGAAGACTGCTTAGACTCAACATTTTCAGCTTTAAAAGCTTGCTTTGCTCTTTGCTGTAGTCCATCTTCCTTAATTGGTGGGCTACTAGATGTTATTTTAGAATTCCCTGGAACATTTAAATACTCCGCTTTATTATTCTCTGGCATATGCTCACTGTCACACTTCTTACTTCCACACTTCATTTCAAATGGCAAAATATCAATATTCACTTCACTAACTGTAGCTATGGAGTCTCCCAGGTTGTTCAAATCATTACTGCTTGGTTTTCTTTCCAACTCAACAGCTGGTTTCTCTGAGGGACAAAATTTGGTGGCTTTGTATTTGAGGATGCAATCTTCTTCAGTCTAGAATTAAGAGGAAAGCAAATAAAAAATATTACTTTTTGGATATTAGGCACTTTTGGATTTGGGTATCAGATCTATGTTCTCATGAATGTTCAAGGCACTCCTTATAAAACTGAGTTTTTTCTCAAGAAAAAGCACGTGGGTTTGGTTGTGTTTTTTTAAAGAAAATATATGTATCTTACAACTTTGTATTTCCCAGCTTCCTCAAAGGAGTGGTTTTGGTGTGTAACATTCCTGCTGTGAGATTCATTCTTTACTGAGACCACAGAACAAGGATCTTTAGGTTTAGAATCCACTGTTTTCTTCTGACTTCTGGCTGCTTTCCTGTAAAGAAAATAAAAGTTGCTCATTCAATCACCATCAACAAGACTTTAAGATATTTCTTTAGATTATACTTACTAAAAAAAATCCACTCCACTAAACAGCTTACATACAGAGAGTTTAAGATACTGGGCTTTTTCAACATACTGTGCACAACATACTCATTTTCACCTCTATAAAAGGAGCCTAAAAACACCATTCAGACTCTGCCAGAAATGTACACTTGTTCTGCACAGCAGCAGATCAGTCCTATCTGGAAACAGTAAAATAACTGACTAAACCTGACAAAGAAAAATAATTATAACAGTGAGTATCAAAAGGAACTTGGTATTACAACTCTCACCTGATAAATGGCCTCAACGAACCATATGGAAACATATATATTTCCTATCACTTCCCTGAAAATACTGGTGCTACCCTTTTTTTAAACACTCTGAATAAGTTGCACAGTCCTAACTATTCTGCATTTGCATAAAAAACTAGTTTCCATTCTAATTCCCTCCTATTTCTCAAAGAATCTAAAGAAATTCATATGTTCGTATGTGTTATAACTGCACATAACAGAACTAATTTTATCCTGCTACAAAAAAATACGAGAAGTTGTAAAACAAAACCACAGTAACATGAATATTTTGCACAGAATCACGCAAATGAAAATATCTCACGCCTTCGTGGCTTCCAAAAACAAAGAAATCTGGTGCTTGATATATGGCTGTCGTAGTATGCTTTTCACACTAGGTCTTTCCTCAGGTTTTTTACTGAGCATAGTTCGTATTATTTCTACCAACTGTGGGCTGTAATCCTTTGGCATGGGTGGCAACTGTAAAAGCAAAGGGAAGTCTGATATTATTTAACATATTTGTCAATAGGGGCTACTGCTAGATTATTTACGCATGACAGCTATATTCAGCTATATGCTTTGAATAAAAAATACTCCCATTGTTCATATGCTGAAAATTGCCCAACTGCTTAACATCAAACAGAATATAGAAATTCTAAGTGTTTTGTCTAAGAACTGTTTGTAAATTCTTATTAATATCAGCAGTTAAAGTTCTCTGAATAGGCTTAAAAATTTATATAAAATAAATTCATATTAACTTCATTATACGACAAACAAGACAGATACTTAAATAAGCTAGTCTTGCTTAACAGGAAAATGGCACCATATGAAGAGAGATTTAATTTTTTGCACAGTTTAAACCAGAAGTAAAATAAGAAAGTAAGTAATCTCAGAACTTTGAAAAATTAATCAATACAGTAGCTACACAAAAGGGTAACAAGGAACTCTAGAAATATCTACAAATGAGCTGGGTCTGACACTGCATCATATCACACCATGAAATATCAGTCTTATAACACACATAATGATACATGTAACATTCAAAGTATTTTTAACTCCATGTAGTATTTCTGTTTGGAAAAGATAATCTCTAGTTCTAGACAGAAAAAACAAAGCACAAGTAAAAAGAAATTAGAAGTTTTTACCTTTCCTTCAATAATTCGATAAACCAAAGAGTTCATGTCTTTAGCATTAAAGGCATGTTTCAGTGTAGCCATTTCATAAACACAGCAGCCTAACGCCCAAACATCAGACTGAGAAAAGGGGAAAAAAAATAAAAAGTTTTGGGAACTTTTTATTAATTGTAGAAGTTTTATCTTCAGACCCAGTCACCTGCATTCAAAGAGGCCTTTAATGACAGTAAACTAAGTAAGAACAAGTTTAATTGCAAACTGTTTGTAGGGGGGTTTGTCTGTTTTAAGTACAATATTGGTTCTAACTGGCAAATGAGAACCTTTTGATTTTTCATTGGAAGAACAGCTCCACCTCAGATCATGCCTGTTGTAGACACTCATATTTATGGTGCGTGTGGTTTGCTGCAAGAGCTGAACAGCTATACAAGAGCACATTTGCTTTATTTTGTTATATTTTAAATTCACAGCAGCATTGCTTATTTCTATACTTAAAATTTCTTTTTTTTTTTCCTTGTAATGCTGCTGCTATGTCTAATATAGACTTTTGAGAATAAAGCTTTCTGTCTGCTAAATAACAAATGTAGAAAATGCTGCTATCTAACATAGACTGATATTTTTGTTTACATTGGCATGCTGTGATAGGTACAGGCAGCCTGCTTAACACCTTGGCTGTGATAACTTATCACATGCTATGAATTCCCACTTACTGCAGCAAACACAGTTTCAGAAATAAAGGTTCCTGCAAAACTCTCCCCTATTTTTTTCTGCTTGGTCTCTGAGGACATAAAAAGAGAGTTGGAAGCAATAAGAAATTAAAAACAATAGATAAGATTGTAATGTTCTCAGACAAACAAACTAAATTGCCTAATGAAATGGAAGTGACATTTGCATTAACATACTCTACCTTGTAGTTGTAGGGTTTGTTAGAAAAGAGTTCAGGGCTCATGTAGTATGGTGTGCCTATGAGAGTGCTTGCCATGTCATATTGGTTTTCCAACACTCTGGCTATTCCCAGGTCACCTACTTTGATTATATTTGTTCGTGTCAGAAAAACATTTTGAGTTTTAAGATCTCTGTGCAGAATGTGCTTTTCATGTAAATACTGGAGGAAAAAAACATACAGCGTTAAGTAACTCCTAATATGTTCTTCTACACTTAAAAGTACAGTCACATTACACAAGTCAAAGAGGGAAAATACAAATGCAAAAATGACACACATATCACTATCAAAATCAGGAGTGCCCTTGCTAAAGACAGTACTAGTGAATTAACATTAAGAATGACTGATACAGGCACAGACCCAAAACTTGGCACTGCTTTAACAAAATCTCCCTGTGTGCCTGTAACAAGCCAGCAGAAAAGAAGAAATAAAAATGTGAAGTTAAGACTCAGACTTTAATTCACTTTCTGCTGCCTCCATTTCTTGACAATTATTTCTTAGTTTTAAGTACAATATTTCAGTGGGAAATACAATGTGAGCTTTGTGCAAACAGGGGAGAAAATTAGTCTTATAACAAACCAGAACAGGCAGTACTGTAGACTTCCATGTCTGATCACAACAGGCAACTTTAAAATTTACCATTAAAAAAGACCAGCAAAACCACAGAACACAAAATGCTTCTGAAATAATCTCCCTTAAAAAAAAAAAACAACACCAAAAACAACAAAAAAAAAACAAAACAAACAAACAAACAAAAAAAACAAACAAAACAAACAAAAAAAAAACCAAAAAAAAAACAAACAAACAAAAAAAACAAACAAACAAAAAAAACAAACAAACAAAAAAAACAAACAAAAAAAACCCCTACATTTTGTAAATTTAATCTAAACTTTCAAACCAGAAAAGCGTTTCAAACTAGAATTGCAAATACTCTGGACGTTACCACTGTCTACTCTGATACAGAGGTGTAGACATAAAATATGATAGCAATTTCTTAGCTAAAATAGTTAATTTGACTGCAGTGACCTGTGCACGTTTTTAATGTACTAATAATCACTGTATTTCGACACTAGCCCAGCCAAACTGGAATTCAAAGTCTGCAGCCTAACTGTGGAATTTTTAAATGCAGAAAGAGCTAAATTCAATTTATACCTGAAGGTGACAAAGTTATATACTTTATTTTACCTGCAGTGCCATGGCAATCTGGACAAACCACTCCACCACCTGATTCTCAGGCAAAAGTCTGCCCTTCTGCTCTTTAAGTTTGTGATACAGATCTCCTCCCTCGCAGAAGCCCATAACAATATATAACAGGCCATCTTCCCCCTGCCAGGATTCTCTGTAGGTCACTATGTTTGGGTGTTTCAACTGGGATAACAACTGTGCCTCTTGTTCTGCTGCTTTCCTCTCTCGGTTGGAAGCATTTTTAAGGTTTAACTTTTTGATGACATACTGTAAAAGAAATCGCAAGGTGTATCATGAAAGATGAAAGTTACTATTGCAGAAGCTCTGGGGAATTCCCCAAGTATAAAGGAAATACAGTGTTTGAAATCTCCACACATTATTCTATACGGAGATTGTAATCTGTCTATCACTGATATGTAATTTCTACCATTAAACCATAAAAATGGAACAGGTGTGTCTATTCTAGTCACATACCTGAATAAAACTATACACAGGACTTTTGTGGTGCTTTGCTTTCTTTTTGACTAATGGTCACATTTACCTTCTTTTCCCCCGCTCTCATTTAAAATGTGTGTCTATCATTCATCTCTTAAGCCTGAAATACCTGTTTGCCTATCACAGTTACTCTCAAAACGGACCTGAAATGAAATAGTAACTTTAAAAATAAAATAACATTAAGGAAAGTATGCAGTCATATGTAAAAAATTGACAACAGATGCCTAGATTAAAAATCATCTGGCTGGACTTAATTTGGTTTTCTCTGATAGAAAACCAAACACAACTGCTCTTTTTTTTAAGGAAAAAGTGGACTTTTCCTTTCTCTTCTTCAGAAATAAAACATACGTTCTCTGTAAAAAAAGAGAAACTCAAGAAATAACATCTCACAACTTCAGTGACCATAGATCATACATCTGAAGACCAAAAAAGTTGTTAAAAATCTGAGTTTCAAGGCTTAGATTACAAATTCCCCATTGTTGTATTCACAATACCTAGTAGAAATGAATTTCCGAACACACAAAATAACGCTGCTCAGGTCTGTTCATTTTTTCTTAAAAAACCTGTAGCTGGCAGAAGACCCCCAAGACAGAACTGACTCGGGATTAATGGCTTTGCACAAAAGGTCTACAAAGCAGTGAAGCATGGGAGAACAAGAAAAAAGCTTCTATCAGGAAAAGAACTGTAGCAAGTAGAGATGCAGTTGGAGGGCTGGTACAGTTACAGGCACATTGAAAAAACACGCTCAAAAACCTGAAAGCAGACATGTAATTTACTTTTTTTAAAACTTGCCTTAAAACTACCTGTTGCACTTATGAGTTTCTGCATATACAGGCTTAAATTTATTTAAGAATAAATTAACTATTACAGGGAAATAGAGACTCTTGGTCATACCGAGTCAAAAGATCTTACGCTCGTTCCTCAATTTCTTTTATTCTGTATTAAGATGGGTTTAGAATTTTTTAAAACTACGTATGAAAGCTGTTATTTACTTCCCCAGTATGTACTATGTCAAATGTATTTCTACTGAATTTCAGGTTTTAGCAAAAATACAACAGAAATTTAAGAAGAGACAATAAAATCCATAGCACACATTCATCACACATAGCACCAATATTTAGATCTGACCTGGCCCCCTTCCCGATGTAAATTTTGTGGTATTCATGTTTAGGTTACTTGTTTTCCATGGAACAATCACGTCATGGTATATACCTGACCCCCGTCTTATCTGAGAGCTTTTAAATCGAGACATATAAAAAAATTTTTACTTAATTTCAGTGTTCTTGGCAATTGCTTAGGGCGTCTTCTTCCCAGGATGGACCCATTAATTTAGTCCAGCATGTTTAATTAGTGTTGAGGAAGACTACCCCTATATATGAAGGGAACCAATTATGCAGAAATCAACAATACCTCCTGATTTTGTGTTTCAAAGTCTGCTAGATATTGGACAAGCTTCTCAGTTCTTAAAACCTGTGACAATGTACAGCACCCAAGAGGAATATAATAAAACTTTGTACAGCATCATCTAAGTTTAAAATAAAATAGAAATGCTGTAACAAGCCAGCTACATCTGTAGCTTTGTACATTGAAACCAAATTTTAGTTTTATATCAGCATCTATCTTTAGATAATACACTTCCAAAATGCAAAAAGCATGCATATAACTTAACTTGAAACCTAGCACTTGTTATATTTGGTTTAATAAGGATGTTATCCCGGCAAGATTCCCATGAAGTCTATTGCAATGCTCTTCCACCTTATTTGATATCAAATTGTGTACAAATTAGAAATTCTTTTGGGTTTTAAACATTTGGAGCAACCTCACCTTCTCCACAAATAAACAAACAGCATTCAGTTAAGAGCAAATATGGCTAAATAAAATATTATTTCTTTCACAGAACATGTAGCACTACACCAAAGTCCCAACAAAAAATACTGATCATCCTGCTACAGAGGAAAGTTTATAGAAGTTGGCAAAAGATAAGACACAGTAAACCGCATCAAATATTTAAGATAAAATAACAACGATAAAGAAGCAAGGCTCTTGCCAATGTTAACGATCAGCAGCATGACAAAGAGGCGAAATCCAAGGACCTGTATATGGCTGAGTCACCCCAATGTACTGTTTACTTTTAGGATAACGAGGTTAGCAACTCTTTGAGGACATTGGACTATGCACCGTGGTGACTGGCCTGGAGGGAACAAGTGCCGCCATCGCTGCTACCCAACCCACAAGTCATAGGGACCTGCTTTTGGATTCCAGCCTCTTCCCTGCCTGCATCCGGGAAAGGACGCGCCCTCTGGTCACCGCTGGGCACAAACACTTCTCCCATCATTTCCAGTCAAATCCTGGGCATAAGGCTCACACCCAGGGTTTCTGCGGTACTGCTCTGTGGATGTTCTCCAGGCCCATTTCTTTATTCTCTTTCATCTTCTATCAAATACACCTGCTTTGGCCAGGCAAGACAGATTATTTCAAATTTCCAACAAAAAGGCGAAGAAAAAAATGCTTACACTTCAACTCTGACATAACCAAAACTTTACCAGGATCTGTCACAGTCAATACAGGAGAAACAAAGCCTGTCTTCCTCCAGCAGAGTTGATGCCAGCAAAAGTCAACACAAGAAGCTGTTTTTTCCATCCTTGATATCATTTTTAGCTCCATCACAGGTGCATGTCTTAAAGAGACTACAGAAGTAGTAACAAAACCAAGAGCAACCTTTCCTGCTTCATGCTAAAAAGATCAGGCTGTATTTTCCTGTCACCCAAAGGACTACCAAAGCTAGGCTTTCCTCCCCAAAATAAGGCATTATATGCACATTTTGGAAAAAAAAAAAAAAAAAGTTTTATTAAAATAAAGTGAGAATTTTGGGGGCTTGGAGGTTGTTGGTTTGGGGTTTTTTTAGATTAAAAGGGAGGAAAAAAAAGAGTCCTCTCCACACCTTTAATTAAAATCTTCGTAGAGGAGGGAGGAAAGCAGGAATATCTGGACGGGCAAGCCCAGCTCATGCGGCTGCAGTCACACCAGCTCACGGTCACAGCTGCACCCCGACACCAGCCCACAGCCCCGGTCGTGCCTGTCGGGGCTGTCGTCGGGGCCACATGTCGCACCCCCCCAAACAGGCCACGGCCGCAGCAGCAGCAGCACCACCAGACCAGGCCGCGGCCGCAGCCGTGCCCCCCCCTGCGGCCAGCCCCTCGCTACCTGCTTGCTGTCCTGCTGGTGCCGCACCAGGCTCACCTCCCCGTAGCTGCCCTTCCCCACGGCCCGGAGGAAGCGATAGGCAGCCAGGGGCATCCTCCCGCCGCCCGGGCCCGCTCGGCGCGGCCGCCGCTGCCATAGAGATCCTCACGGCGCCCCGCTGCCATAGAGAGCACGCCGCAGCGGCGTGCAGAGCGGACCGCCCCACGTCTCTATGGTGCGAACGCTTCGTGGCGCGACGGCGGCCATTTTGGAAGTGGGTGAGGCGGCCATATTAAGTGTGGGCAAGGAGCCTGAGGGAGGTGTGGGGCAGGCGGCAACCGGTCGGGGTGAGGCTGGCTTTCGCTGTTCTCACGGCCCGAGGAACAAAGCCGTCCCCTCAGAAACTGCCTTACGAGGGTCTTCGGCGTGCTGCTCCACGAGACCCGTGTGTTAAACCCCGGGGAAGGGTGGGGACACGGTGACAGCCCCGTGGGCAGCCGTGCCACAACCTGCCCGCGCCATGGCGCCGTGAGCCCTGAGGCATGAGGTGGCGGGGGAGGCCTAGCAGAGCACAGCTGCTCTACAGAACCATCCTGTCACCTTCGGGTGGGGCAGAGAATTGGTTTAAAAAACTCCAGACTGGTTTGAAAGGAGCTCCTTGGGCATATCCTCCGGTGTCCCTCACATAGCTGCACACCTCAGAAAGCTGACTGCAGGAAAAACAGAAAACAGCCCAAATTCTGTATACTTGTATGTTTTATTATCACTGAGAATTGAACTTCCAGTCCTCAAAAGTTTGTGATTAATGGAGCGCTGAAGATTAAACCAGTTAAAAAGATAAGAAAGAATTAACACTGTCAATATAATAAAGAGAGAAAATGGGCCTTGCAGCAGCAGGTTGAATGGTATTAACTGTGCAAGATACAAAACCCTGGGAGCTTGGACCTGGGTTTCAGCCATAAAAATGAATAGGAAAGCACGTGATAGGAAGTTTCTGGACTAGTCAGGATGTGTCTAATAATGATACCTAAATCAGGTACCTGGGTGATACGCAGGATTACGGGAAGTAGTTTTTGAAGAGGGGCATAGATGGATTTAAGAGACTGCAAGCTTTGTTACAGCTGCCAATAAATTGAGCCAGGAATAGCTTTTAAGAAGGTACTGGAAAAACGACAGTTTCTGTTTGGAAAAGAAGTGAGTCTAGAACAGAGATCAGTCTCAGTTCCCTGTATAGAAATGGCTGCTGAATTTCTTTTTGGAGATACTATATAGAAGAGACATTGCTAACACATTCTGTAAATTCTGTAACAGTATTTTGTAACAGTATTTTGCAGATTATGCAAATACAAAATTCAGTATTTGATGTTTCCTGAATGCCTAATGTTTAATCCCACTTTTCACAGTGGGTTATTTATTAACACTCAGTAAACAAAGCATTATATATGTATGCATATCATTGAGATTGGAATCTTTTTTTTCCAAAATGGAAACCCATCTATTACTTTGTATTTTATTATCGATTCCTGCCTTTGCATCATCAGACTTTTTGGTAACACATGTCCGAAACATCAAGGTAAGTAATCAACCATGTGTGGGGCTCCCATTCTTCATAGGTTAACTTCCTGCCATTTATCAACATTTATCATAGAGTTAATACAGTGCTGCCACCGGGAGCTCTGTGTTCTCTGCTATCACTGAACACAAAATCACACTTGGGACTCAGGCTACTTTACCTCTAATCATCCTCAGTTTTGAAGCAGCTCTGAAGCAGCTCTCCTATCTCTCTTTTTAAAAGCATAACTTTCTTCTATTTTTCCTGTCATCACCACATAATGATAAAATGTTTTAGTGGTCTTATACTTAAATGTATAAAACATCCCAGGGAACTGACTTTAGCACCTCTAAAGCAATGCAAAGTATTAGTGAAAAGATGCTTCCAGGAAGCAGAAAACACAAGTAACGTGGCATTTAGATAAATATGTTCACTATCCAAATGACATAGTAGGATTTTTCTGAAAAGACTTGCACATTAGCATAACATGAAATCTATCTCTGTCCTTCAAAGACATTCTCTGTTTGTCTGGATCTCAGAGTAAGGCAGTGCTTCCTGATGTTCTGCCTAATTTTCTTAAGTTGCCAGCCATATTCCTCACCTCAATAAGTGATTTTCCCCTCTCTCAGCAGTTAGTTATATACTATGAAAAGCTGAAGAGGGCATATCTCTTTAGGGAGCATTGTGGGCTATTGGGTAGAACAGGACAAGGCAATTTACAGTCAATTTCTTTTGATTAGGTTATGGTCTTTGCCAAGACTTTTTCCTTGTAAATCAGGATAATAACATATCTAACTTTTAAAAATCAGTTTGAGATTTATTGCTGCAAATTGGAGATGCCATGGATTCTTACTATTTAATCATTATGTAGCCCAGATATAATGTTGCTTTTCCCTCCTGATTACTACACTACCTGTTGTTCTCGGTATGTCTTGTGATGCTAAAGCCTTCCTAAATGGAAAATGGCCAAAGTTCGCTACATGCAGAACACTACAGAAAAGTCAGCTGATTCTCCAGGTTTTGCTATATTCTTTATGCAAATGTAATTTGATTGCTATGTAGTGTGAAGGTCTCAGTTCCCATCCCTGTCTTGTCTCCTTTGAGCAAGTAGTATGCCAGTGAGGAGTGATGAAGCATGGCTGGAAGTCTGGCTGATGATCTTCAAGCTGTCAAAGCTGCTTTTAAAGCCATAGCCAGGTAAACACAATTGGTAGACTCAGTTCTGCTGAAAATTGAACAAAAATCTGAATCAAAGATCCCTGCATGCACCTGTACACCTTGTTCCTATGCATGCAGCTACTAAGGGTGAGAAAGTTTTTCTAGATTAAAAACTACCTGTAGAACTACATATTCAAAGCATCCGAAGCACAAGTAGCAATGATACAGGCTTCCTTTTAAGGCCATCTCATTTTGGCAGCTGCAAGACTCCTACATAGCTCACAAGGAAGTTTAATTTTCATAGTTTAGCTGCATTATGGTCTCTTCTCTGTGATAGCCAATTAGCATTACTTGGGATGATGAAATCTTGAATGTTGCTGTAGATTTGGAAATAATTTTCATGCCTTATTTTTCCTTTGTAGTACTTAGGGATATATGCAAATACCTTGTTTAGTGTTGTGAATTCCCGGAGGTCACTCAAGTTAACTGTACAGTCTTTGCTGAATGTTTTGGTCATGCTGTGTTTTAGTTTCCCAAGCTGTAAAATCAGGGCATCTTTCTGCAGGTACTGTAATGGGAATCCTCTTTTCCGTCCCTGTTTTGTTGGGAGTTCAGATTTCTTTTTTCCTTTGCGTTTCCTCTCCAATTTCTATAGATTTTTTTGCACCTATATTCTTTGCTGTTGCCACAGCAAAACAGTATTAAACAAAAGCAGAATTTCTCACTGTTCTACAACCGAAAAAAAAATTATAATAATTGTTGCAACTGGCAAATATGTGGAAATACCATAGAAACATTTTATCAAGTAACCATAATTACACAAGGTAGAGGACATTAAAATCTCAGTTTGATTTAGAATTGCATAACATATTTTTCAGTGATACACTATCTCTTTCTGCCCACACAGCTTAAATGACCTTGGTATTAGTGAGGTCTCTATGAACGTCCAGGTGATTCATTAAGAATGAAAAAAAATTACAGAATCACCTAATCCACTTACCTGCGCAAATCAGGGTCAACTGGAGCAGGTAGCCCAAGAGGACGTCCAGCTGGGTTTGAGTATCGGCACTGAAGATACAAAGTGACTAATGCCTTTCACTGTTAGATTTTTCTGTATTTTCTTTTCCAGTGAGAATGGCAGAGTACCCCCCAAAATATTTACAGAATCAGAACAGATCTCTTTCAAAACTACTGTAGAACCCATAATTCTAATACAGAATGTGCACAACAGCAATTCTGTAAAAATGAAGTGCAGGCAAAGTATCTTTTAATTTAGGAGGTAGTACTCAGAATTGCAGAATTTGTAACTAAAGAACACATTTTTTGTAGTTTTTTGCACTCTTAAACTGCTTGGTAATTCCACTTTAAGGAAAAGTTTGTACCAAACAAACTGACATTTCAATGACTTTCAGCTTTTCATTTACCAGGGTCCATACCTCAGTTTGTGTTTTGTAGAGGGAAATGACATTACAGATATAGAAGAGATAATTTATGTTTTGGAAAGGACAGATTTGAATTGGTGTATACTCTAGACAGGCATTTAAAAAGCTCACATAGGTTTGTGAAACAGGAGAGACATACACACAGAAATCATCTGTATGGCAATAACAGTTCGAAAGATGAAACTAGAGGAAGCCCTACACAGGCTTTTGGGGCAGACTCTTACAGAAGTTGAGAAGCCTTGCCCCCAAAACCTTGCAATACCATAGACTTAATATAGTGTCTTGAAAAAAACTCCAAAATAAACAAAAAATAACTGTCTGTGTCTCAGTTTCCAACCTGGAGAACTCCTAACTGTGAAAGGTAATAAAAGCCTTAAATGTACCGGACATGTGTATCTGACTTGATACTTTATTGTATCTTTACCCCTCTATTTGGTGGAGCAGGTAAACATGCTTGCACAAAATGTGACCTATGAAGCACTTTGAGCCAAAAGCGATAAGATCTTTGCAGCTGAGTTTACGGGAATGGAGTTACACAAGCAGTTATGTTAACATGATTCAGTACGTATGTTTGAAGCCTGTTCTCTCTTTCAGAGGAGGGTACATGGTATTTTTGTACAGCTGCTGGTATTTGCACCTGGTCTGGGAGCAAATATGCCAAAAAAAAAATTCTAACAGCTTTTTTTTTTCCTCCATGCAGTCCTTTGTAGTGACCACCCCTCCTCTCTGTAAGCCTGCTGAATTACCATCTTGCCTCTTCATGTTAGAATGAGAGGCTGCTGGAGTGAAACAGGAAAAATTTAGGAGTGAGTCTGAAAGAGTTTAAGGATGGGTCTGCCTGATAGTT